CTGACCCAGAGGCTCCCCACTAAGCTGCTGAGTGACATTGCCTAGATACGAAAGTCTGCTCTTCGATGTCCCCGTCTTCCCTGGCAATTCCCTCCCCTATTCCCCACCTGGGTGGTGGCCCCATGCCTCTGTCTCTGGAAGGTCTCCCACTGAGAGAGACTTCTGCTTTCGTACAAGTCTGTGGGAGCGCTGCCCAAATAAGGCTTGTGTGCTACTGCCTCTCATGGTCCTCTCTCTTCCTGGATCACCCCAAGTCCCTGAACCCACCGCAAGTCCTTATGAGAGAGACAGGAGGAGCGGAGTGAGCAGAGGAGATATTACTGCAGAAGCAGGAAGTTGGAGTGATGCCAGGAAGGGTTCAGGAACCAAGGAATGCAGACTGAAAAAGGCAAGGAAAAGAAATCTCGTCTGAAACCTCCAGAAGGAATGCAGCCCTAGTAACAACTTGAATTTAGATTTCTGACCTCCAGAAGGCTAAGAAAAAATTTTTTGCATGTTAAGCCACTGAGTTTGTGGTACTTTGTTACAGCAGCAATAGGAAACTAATAACTTGTATACACACATATCTACAAATATTTCTACATCTATCCATCTGTGTCTATATTGAGATAAACATGACTTCATACTGGTGTTTCCAACTCTAATCCATTACCATATGAATTATTCTAGCTATCTTCTTACTTAATTATATCTTCCCTCACCAACAATAAGAAAGCTGGCTCCCACCACCCCCATCCATTGACTTATTTGTTCAACCAGTGTACCTGTAAAGCAGTTTCAGAAATGTTCTTCTACACTCCCATGAGAATTTACCAGCCTGGGTACAGAATTTTGTCTTTACCCTATCCTTCCAATTTTATTTTTATTTTTCACTCATCCTCCAACTTTTAAATTTTGAAATATTTTAAATATAGAGAGAATTTGCTTCCTTTCTGCCTGGCAAGCTTAGTGCTGTGGACGCTATCTCTTTTCCTGCTCCACTTCCCCCTGGATTTCTGTCTCCTTCCCCTGACAGAGCCCCCAGGAGATGCTGTGCAGGTTTTTGGACCTGCTTGACCTGCACCCCTGCTCCATTGCCTCACTCTTTCACCCAAGCCCCTGGCCTGCCCAGATATCCCTGACTCCACTCTTGGTGACTCCATGGCTCCGTCATATCCCGCTTCAACCACCAGGTTCCCCAAGGAGCATCTCCCCAGGTACACACTCCTGTATAACTGTATGCAGTGACACTGGAGAGAAAAGGCTAAGTGTTGAGAGACTTGGAAAGGAAGGGGAGACTATCAGGACGGGAAACATGAACAGAGATTCAAAACAGGCTGGGAGTCTCAGAGCAGAAAGGCACCTGGCCCCACATTCTACCTGGAGCTCTGGGAGGAAGACGTTCTCTCAGTGCCCCACACCAACAGGAGGAGGCAACAGGAGGTTAGAAATGACAGCCTAGCATTTAGGAGAGGCCCTGAGATGGTGCCTTTGGGTTCCCCATGGCTTATTTGTAATATGAATGAGTTCCAGCTGCAGGCCTCAGAAAGAGACTCTATAGAGGTGCTGAGAAGAGTCTTAGTCAACAGGAAGAGGCTTGAGATAGGGAAGAGGATGGCCTAAGGTGTGCATCTCTCCTTATTGGAAGCCACAACAGCAACCACAGACACCAGAATCGCTGGGGTGTGCCTACAGCCAGCCAGACCCAGTTATACAATGGCCAACACCCAAAGACCAAGGAGGAGGAGAGAGCAAAAGAGACAGTCTGTTCTTTTCCTGCAATCATGTTATGTAAGCTCCCTCTGTATCCAGCTACCTTCTTGGGAAGGAAGAGGAGGATGAATGGAAGGGAGAGGAGGAGAGAAAGGAGAAGGAGGAAAAGAAGAGGAAGAGACAGAGGAAGGTGAAGAGTAGGAGGAGAGATGGAGGGGTAAAAGCAGGCTTCTTTTATGCTGATGGACATTGTACATCACTCGTAGAAGGCTGTAACACAGTATAAAGAGTTTCCCAAACATACTGGTCAAGGGAGTACTTTGTTTACAGAACCATTATTAATATCTCATAGATCCCTGAAAGAGTTTAGGAAATATGGATCTATAGTTTAAGGTGGTGAACAGCATATCAGGGCCTAGGACACAGATGGGAAGTGATGGGGATCCCTAAAGAATAAGTAGTGAGACTCCAAAGATACTTTCTCTTCTTCTCAGATTTGCTTTGACTGACTCTGGGCCAGTTGTGGTCTGAAACCCCTTCTTGGGTTTTCTCTTTGAGGGTATGTCCCCACTTAAGCATAGCTCTTTCCAAGCTCTACTAGCCTGAATTGCTGGAAACAGGGATTATGCTTGGTTGAATCCAACTCTTTTAAAGTTAATCCAGAGGACAAGCAGCTGGGGTCCTTCAAGCCTCTAGGAGTCCCCAATCACTCACATGATGCCCCAAAACTGCAGCCTGAAATTGTCATAGCTCTTAGGCATTTTGCCAATAATCAATGGTTGATGGGACTGGAAATAGGTAAAAACAACAAATAGTGGAGCTGGGCATTATAAGCCTCATCTAAACTGTGATGAAGACTCGTTGCTGGACTCCCATCAAAGCTTGAGAAGGCCGTCTGTAGGCACCAGTGACTGTGTTGGTGCTGAAATGGAGTCACCACCCAGAACACCATTTCTGAGAATCCCTGGGGAGAGGGGCACGCATTACAAGGACGTTATGCTGGGTGTGGGTTTGGATGAGTGCAGGTGGGTGGGAGCAGCCTACTGGGCGACACATTCCTTAACATAGAGAGGGTAATTATAGGAATGTAAATACATTTCCAGCTGCTACAGGTGCCCAGGGGAGGTTCTTTGAGCTCTGCATGCTGAGGAACCCCTCAGGCAGGACATGAGACGTTGCAGCTTGGGCCCCTCTAGACTGGATGGCATGAATAGAGTTGCTGACACTTGCAGCCCAAGATCTTTATGAAATCCTAGGGGGACACCCGTGCCCAGCCACCCAGCATGGCACATCTTCAAGCAGAGCAGACTACAAAAGTCTTGCTTTCTTTTCCTCTGGGAGAAGATTTTAATGCCTACAATGCAAATGTTCCTTTAGGCAGCTGAAAACTTATCTCAAAATGCTCTGGGACCCGGTTCCTGGAACCAGTTTTCAACTAAAATTGCCAATTGGTAAATACATATTCAACTTTAGAGAAGAAAGATAATTCTAGTTAATTGAAAATACGCAGTGGGTGCAGTATTGACATATTTAAGGAACAGACAATGTCAAAAAGATTCTGACACTGACTTATGTATTTTGATTCTTGTCCTTTAAGACTAGGTTTCACATCTACACCCACAAGGCTGCTTATTACAATCACGTGTGACTCTCTGCCTGAAGGATTTTTTTCTCACCTTTGGAACATGATGAACGTGACACAAGGCCAATTGGAAGTGCCAAATTTATTGTCCCCGGAAGTAGCTATTCCTTTAATAATAACCGTTGGGTTTTTGGTGGCTACATACTCCAGCTTCCTCATCCTGCACTTGGGATGTATGTTCTACATGGCCTCCCATAGTGCCCTCCCTCCCTGGAATAAGCCCCAGTTGCCCACAGTGGTGACTTGCTAGATCATCCCCCTTAGTTGGCTTCCCTCGTTCTAAGCTCTCTTCCCCGCACTCCTACTGGTGCTACCTGGGATTCCCTCTCAAGTAAGCTCTTTGTACTCCCAGGTTTGTCTCGGGGTCTGCTTCCTGGAAACTCACACACAGACACTATGTATGTTAAAAATGCATTTAATTCACCCTCACACACCAGTGTTTGCCTGGAAGTAGAATTCTAGGCTCAAAGTTATTTTCCACCTATACTTGAAAGATATGTTCTACACAACTCTTTTTCTCTTGGGCATTTCTGCTTGCCTCGTTATCTCCCTTTCTCTTTTCTCTATTGATGAAGTATGTCAGGAACATAGAAATGTATAGAATGTGTAGGGAATGGTACAAGGAATGCCTGTATCCTCACCTCCCAGCTAAGGAAATAAAACTTCAAAAACAGTGACTCCATCTGTCCCTCACGGAAGCACCATCCTGAATTGGGGATTCGCCATTCCCGTGTCTGTGTAACTGTTATATAGAACAAGCAGGGGCCAAAACCCAATAATTTTGTCCCCTAACCCCTTCTGATGCCCTGGCTGAGTCCATTCTGCTGGCTTCTTTCTTCTCTGCTCCCAATCATCAATCCCAGGGTCAGGCTCATGACTTTTTTGATCACTAGCAGGTAATAGAATATCTTCAGTGAGCTTAATATTCCTCATGGTCAGTGTTCAGCAGTTTGTATGTCCTGTCCAAGGTGATAATGACAACTCTAATCTTCTTTCAATGTCAAAGCCTCTCCCTTACTCCAGCTCAGGCCTGCAGTAGAAAGGGGAGGTGTGGCATAGTCCTTCCACTGGGACTCCACCAGCATCTGCCACCCTCCCCTTTTGCAACTACTTGTCTCTCCCAGGGTCTATCGAGCACTGGGAGGCACAAGAAGTCAGGGTCATGACATCTCCCTTATCTGGATGGAGTTTAGCAGCTATTTAAATCTTTTTCTCCCTTGGTAGGGGCTTTCACGGCTATTTTGGAGACCCCATCTCTGGGCCTTGAGCCCTACAGTTCCCTGAAACGTGGCCTCTACACAGAGGAGTACTCCCCCAACCCTCCCAGTCAATTCCAGTTAAATTCCTTATTTGTGATTCTGACTTCTTCCCACTGTCTCCCTTAAAGTTAGGGGGAGACAAATCAAGACCTCTGAATGGCCTCATTGAAGCCCCATCCCTCCAGTAAATTTGAGGTGTAGGGTGTTTCCATTCATAAACTCAGCAGCTTTTTCAGCTTCTCTAAACAAGGCCCCTCTTGACTCCAAATCCCCCAGACTCTGCAATGTTAGTAAACATTCTCTAAGTAGCCAGAGTTCACATGTTTGTGGCCTTTGGGTAGCACAAAGAAGGGTCAGAAGTACGGAGACCACATGAACAAAAACACATCAAACCCAAAGACGTGAAAACATAGCTTCAATTTTAATGCTTCTATCAGGGGAAGGATTTGTTGATCCACATCATTTTCTGGGATTTTTCATAATCCCCAAGGAGAACAGGTGGGTTACCCACAGGACTTTTTGGCAAAGGCCAGCTCCACTCTGGTGTGGTTTGTGTCAACATCCACAGCCACCGTGACAGATGCACATCGTTTTTGTGCCCCCCTAGCTGCCTACCGAGTAAAAAGCTCAGCACGTTTTTGTAGACCAGGGTGGGTTTTAGGTATTCATCTGCCTTCCTCCTGATGCGCAGTGTCGGGGTGCTGGGCTTCACTTCAGAGTCTCGTTTATCCATGACTGGCTGACACCACAGAGGGCTTCAGGAAGAGAGCACAACCAAGAAAAACCTGGCAAAGTTAATGAAATCCAGAATTACCTACAAGAGAAGTACCAGGTGGCTCCAGAAGCCCCTGTGCACTTCCATCTCCCTAACACACACACACACACACACACACACACACATATCTTGAGGCAACATCTGATTTGAAATGCCAGCTGTATCATTTCTTTGATTCCCACATATATATGAAAATATGTCTAGAATCTCTATTTTGTTCCATTGACATATTTATCCATTCCTGTTTCAATTGTTAATCCTATAGAGTAAGTTTTAGTATACAATGTGGCGAGCTCCCTCTCTTAGGTAATCCCTCACATTTTCTCTTCAAGGTAATTTTATAATCTAGTCATCTAGTTCCACACACTCAAAATCCTGTTGTGATTTATGTTTGGAATTTCACTGAATTCATAAATAAAATTACAGTAGAATCGTACCATATCACAAATTAGTCTTCCTCCCCCAAAAATATTTAAAAATATTATTTTAGTGTCCAAACAGAAAGCTTGTAAAAAGTTTCATGCGTATTTCTATGTTTTTAAAAACTTAGTTATAATTTTAAGGGTTTTACAATGTTTGTGACCAATTTAAATAGGATATTTTATTTCTATTATATTTCTTAATTATTAGAAGAGTATGAAAAATATATTTTTAACTTATATCAACCAATCTTTCCCGATCTACTTCCTAGGTGATTGCTAAGGTTTTTACAGGAAGGCAATCCTTTAAAAGCAAGGCAGTTTTGCCACTTCTTTTTGTTGATCAAATACTGTACACTAATAATAGTTCTCATCTCTCTCCAATTTCTTTTAGATGCTGAACACATATCTCAGTGTCTTTCCATGGTTCTCTATGGGATGGGAGGAAACCTGGGTAACTGAGCCTTCCCTGCCACTCAAGGAAGGGCGTGTGGCCTGCGTCCCTCTTACAGGCACCTGTGCCTCAATTTCCTCAGTGGTTATGTGGGACTGAGGGGGCAGCCAGCGCGGGGCCAAGTCACATCTCCTCATAACAGTCATTTTAGTTCCTCAGGGGAACAGCTCCATAAAGCACACAAAGCCCTGTCCTCGCCATTATCCCTCTGACATCCCGTCAGAATCCATGTCCTACCTCTAGACAATACGCACACGGGTCACACTTCAATGTTAACTCTATAGTTGTTCCATATCAGAGACTCACAAGGTAATATGGCATGAGAAGTACGACCACTCAGCAGAAATTTCTACAATTAAACACCCATTTATGATGTGAATTGGTATTTAAGCCAATATTTTGGTATTTTAAATTGGTAGTAATCTCAGAACTGTGGCCAAGGCTGGATGCTGAGATGGGGAAAGAGCAGAAACTCCTACCTGGAGCTGAGTTCCCTCGCACCTCTCTCTGAGTGATTGGATCTTGAGGCCACAATCACTGTCCGTTGTCCAGTGGACCTGTTGAAATACAGAGAACACTGTGAGGACATTTTGGTAACTCCTCCCACAGGAGAAGTTGGAGTGGAGGGATTTTGCTCGAGCCAAGGAAGAGCTCCAAGGCCAAGCTAGCTGAGTATCCTATCCAGGGAACAGCTGTGGAGATGGTACCCAAACATAGGTAGTATGTGCCCCCTCTTCCAGCACCTCTCACTCACCGTATTCAGCTCTGAACACGGAGTAACCCACGTGGTTGTGGCCAGTGCTTGGATTCTGTAAATAGATGTGATTACTAGGTTCTGGACCACATTGTGAGTCATGATCATTCCTCTTGGTGCTTAACCAATCAGAACCTGGGACTCAGGAAAAGAGAACAAGACAAGGAGAGAAGGAATTTTCCTTCTCACTCCTTACCCTGTCTTCTGGATGCTTCTTCCAGAGAAACCTGAGTAGTCTGGGAGGTAAAACATCCAGATATACCAAGATAATGCAGTATTATTTTCTGCCATCATCACACTAATCCGCCTGATCAATCCCAACCTTGCTGGCTAAAATGGGGAAGGTATGGGACTGTCATTTGCTCAAACTGGCACAGAGATGCTCTAGAGAGAAGTGGGAAGGAGCACAGGCTCTAGATACAGGCTTTCTCTGTTCCAATCCCAGCTCTGTGTAACTTTGGGCAAGTATCTTAATTTCTCCTGTGAGCCAAGAATTGAAAACACAAGGGGTACCCATTCCCCACTTTGGCACTGTGTCAGATTTAAAAAATACTGCACAAAACTTGGCGGGGGTGGTCATGCACAGGTATCAAAGGTTACTGCAGTCTTCAAACCACTAAGATTAAGTATCCTCTGGCTCAGCAGGAAACAAAATAAGTAACCCTTTAGAATTTAAAATTATATTTCTTGCACGGGGGTTTGTGGAATAAGATCTACACTTGTTTCACTGATGATTTTCAAAGTAGCTAAATTTTATATGAAGCTAAAGTAATATGAGATTTTAGAATGAGGAAACAAATTGTAGCAGCCTGTACATTTCAGAGTGCAGATTTCAAATGTAAAATAGTGAACTTTGTTACTGATAGATTTAACAAAAGAAAATGGCTCATTTAACCTGCTTCACAACATCAATAATCCAGATCAGAAAGAAACCTATTTCCCAGGGACAGGGAAAACTCAGAGGCAAGAAGGCAACTCTTCAAAAGAGCAGTAAATATTCAAGTAAAAATAAGTTCGGGTATGCAGATTAAGTCACCAGTTGAGAAATGGCCTAACACTTTGACTACAACCTAACAACTTGTTGTGTGTCAGGTGATTGAGTTATCCACTAATGTGTCCACAATGTCCCTGGGCTCATCATGCTCTAACTTGGTAGATGTTGGGGGCCCCTGCTGTACCACACCCACCATTCTAACAGCCTCCCCAGAGCTCAGAGCAGCAGCTTCCCACTTCTATTCTGGGGGCCTGGCATAGAGGTAGGCTTTCTATTGTTGAAAATCTGATGAGAAAAGTGGACCTTCGCCCCAGAAAATGCCCTGACCCACCGCCTGTGTAGTGTAATTCATAGAGCCCCAGAAGCCAAGTCATGGAGCCCCAGTGAAGGATTCCTGTCACCTCCCTCTCGGTGAGGCTAATAGCCTCCACCATGTCTCTGAGTTGCCACAGACTTGCCTGATCTTGTGCTGATCTGTCAATGAGGGTCTTTGACTCTACCCCCAGGAGTGTTTCTGGAGTGAAGGGAGGAAGGAGCAGAAGGATGGGTGTCTCCACTCAGCAGGTCACCAGGCTCTGGCCACTGAGCGCCACCCTGTGCTTCTGGGCAGCGAAGAAGGAGCCAGGCTGCTCAGGCACACATCCCACTGCTGCCTCTCCTTGGCTTAGGGCACTCAGGCGAGTTCTCCAACCTCCTTTGGCCTCAGATTCCTCGTGTACAGAACGTGAAGTGCTCAGCACAGTCCCCAGCACAGAGTGCACACTCCACAGTTGTCAGCGATTACTAATACATACCTGAAGGAAACAGCCTGCCTTCGTTCTCCCCAGCGCTCTCATTTTCTTCACGCTGACACCTGAGAAAGGACAGGCCGTGGTCTCTACACTCCCGTCGTGACCTATTGCTGCCCCGATGCACTCACAACGGCCGGCGATGGTCTGAGCCCGGGAGCACTTCCAGCCCACTGCGCTGGGCCCCCGCGCCCCCCACTCCCTGTGGACCTCCCTCAGTGCCCCAGCACTGCTCTCACCTGGTTCTCCTCCTCGTCCTGCTTGTTCCCTCTGCAGGACAAGAAGCGCACACAGACTTCACCCACAGGGCCCACCATCTGTCACCAGGATTACTGGGCAGCGCCCTCTTAGCTGGTCTCTCTGCTTCACCCCGAGGCCAACTCCAGCCTCCTCACCACCAAGCAGCCGCAGGGCTCCTAGCAACACAGAACTCAGAACTTGTCACTCCTCTAAGAAGGCAAGCCTTCAGGGACTTCAGATCTCATGTACAGCAAAAGCCAAAGAATTTCTAGTGGCCTACAAGGCCCTGCACGGCCTGGCTCCCTGTTACCTCTCTGACCACATTTCCTGCTACTCTAGCTCTCACTTACTCTGCTCCAACCATTTAGCTGTTCATTGAACACGTCAGGCACACTCTTGCCTCAATCTGTGCGCGGGCTGCTCCCTCTGTCCGGATGGCTCCTCCGTCAAATAGCTGCCTGGTGACTCCATCACCTCCTTCAACACTTGGCTCAACTGTTGCTTTCCAGCAAAGCCTACTCGGACCACCCTACGCTAAAATGCAATCCAACCCCCTCCCAGCACTCAGGGACCCCCTGCTCCAGCTATATGTTCCCATTACCGTCCAACATATCATGTGTTTTATTATTTATTATGTTTCTTGTCTTCCTTTCCCTCCTCTGTAAAAAATTACCTCCACAGGGCCAAGATTCTTGCCTCTCTTATTCATTGATTGAATCCAAGAGCCTAAATTGGTGCCTGGTTCATAGTCACTACTCTATAAATATTTATTAAAGGAATGAAAAAATATGTTAAGTATGGCAGAGTATGTGGCATAAGTAAGTAGACAGCGAAAAAGTGGTATCAATGATGATCAAAGAGTTCTGTGATAAATTTCTATTGGGCCGCATAAATGGAGTCAGAGTACAACAGACAAGTATTGATCATTCCTAAAGTGTTCTGTAGTGACAATACCGCACACACTCACACATAAATCCAATTGATCTATGCAACAAAAAATTACTAACCACCTACTCTGTTGCCAGGTACTGTCCTAAGCACTGTGGATACAATGATGAGTGCCAGACTTTCTGTTTGCACTTGGCCCCATTCTTGCATCCTTCTTTGCTTCCCCTAGTATCCCAGGGGCAGAAATCCTTGAAACTGTATTCTCAGAATCCCTCGCTAGGAAAGTTTCAGAGTCTACATTAGGAGGATCTCATGAGCGACGTGGAAGCTACAATGGAGGTTGAGTTGACTCTTTCTCTGGGAGTAGTAGTGGCAGATGGTGCAGGCTCGCAGTGGAGGGATGGTCTGGAGCTTTTTTGGACTCCACATTCCCCTGTCAGTCTCCTGTTCTGGGGACTCAGGACATATTTCACCTTTGCACAGCTTCCAGCACTGTCCTGATTCCTCAATGGCACTCAGAGCCCTTGACCCTTGCTCCTCCAGACGTTAAACAGATTTGCCAGCCCCTAGTTCTCAGCATTAGATCCTTTCCTTCTTGAAATGCCTGTAGTGGGTTCTCTTTAGCTGACTGTTCTTGACTGATTCAGGGAACAAGGCAGAGAAGGTCTACCTTTACCAAACTTCTAATAAAAGGGAATATGGCCAAGGGAACAGGCAGTTACCACATAGCATGAAGTGTCCATTGGTCAATTTGTCAGTTAGTCTGTCAGTTGATAAAAATCAGTGAGGGCCTACACATTTAGCAGTTGAACAAGAGTCGAAAATATGTCAATGAAACAGAATACGGATTTCTGGTGGAGACTCATGCATATACAAAATGAAAGAAATGATAAGGTTGGCATTTCAAGTCAACGATGCGGCAAAGCAATCTCTTATGTCTAAGCTGGAAATAAGTGTGAGTGTGGCAGGGAGGGGGCAGGGGGAAGAGGCCCTTGGCTACACTGGATTAAGTGGGTTTCATCTTCTTTTTCAGACTTTCTCAGTTGTACTCTCTTCCTGAATCCACCTGTGGTGTCAACCATCATGGATGCAGGAGACTCTGAAGTTAAGCCTAGCAGCACCACACTGAGCATCCTGAGGAAGAGACCTGAATACTTAAAGCCCCAAAACCTTGCCTCCTAAAGCGTGGTGAGCTTTTTACTCAGTAGGCCGCTGGGGAGGCACAGAAGTGATGTGGATCTGTCAAAGTGGCTGTGGATGCTGGCAAGAGACACGCCAGGGTGGAGTTGGCCTTTGCCAAAAAATCATGTGATTTACCGGCTTATGCCTGCCCAGAATTTTTGGGAAACGAAAAAGATCTAAAATAAACTCCTGCCTTGTTTCAGCTGTTAAAATAAAAGCTGTGTGTTCACTCCTTTTGGTCTGATGTGTTTTTATGGCCATACAGCTTTCCTGGGCTACCCTGGAGAGGGGAGCCCATTCCTTCTGACATTCTGTGCAGGAGCTCTCAGACTCTGGGAGGTGGTGAGATCACGCTGCATATCAGATTTCTTCCACCTTTAGTCTGAAGAACAGGAAGGGGATAGTTATGAAGTATTAGGTCGCTCCAAGACCCCAGACTCCTCTCCCTAGGCGTTTTGGAGAGACCTCCACTGTGCTCCGCTCTAAAACCTAGTTGCTTCCCCTGGTGAGAACAGGCCCCCAGCGGGTGGGAGGTTTAAGACATCTGCCTTTTTATTATTCTGATGTTTATGAGAGTGTCATTTAGAAACTGCAGCACTGTGTCTTGGCTGTTCTATTTAATGTTAAAAGATCAGAGCACAAGGCATTTTATTGTGGGAACATCATACCTTCAGGGCCTTCTAAAGGGAATCTCTTCTCACTGTCCCCAAACAAGTGGAATCCCCAGGGCCCCTTATTTGAGCCACGTGAAATAAATCAGTTCAGGCCACAGCTGACTGAAGAGAAGTCATCTGTCAGAAGCGAAGCCAGCCCTTCTCCACAAGACTTGTGCGAGGACTCCCACGAAGAAGGCTCCCCAAAGGCACGTGCTGGAAAAGTCAGGTCTCACTGGGAGAAACTGGAAATGGGAACTGTAGGAAATGGGGCATTCAGAAGTGAGGGCTAAGCTGAGAGAAGGACAGGGAGAGCTA